TCAGTTGGGCTGATTTGACAAGGGTTCCCCAACTCCCATCTCCCAGATCCCAGATGGGTGTCAGATGTACGACTATGCAATTACGGGGATCTTTCCTTCATTTTTTTTTTGTTTTGGGGTTGATAATGAGCGGATCGGAGTGAAATAATTATGGTGCTCAAGGAGGTCCCCAAATCGAAGGGTGTTTACATTTGTTTATGTCAGGTCTGGTGCCTAAATTGGGGTTGCATGTTAAGCAAAGGCAGGAAAGTGAAATTAGGATCGAAGAAATTTTAATGTGCAATGGGGGAAAATATCTTTTGATGGGGTTGATGCTAGGGACATTTTTTTAGACAAGAAAATCCTGTAAAAGATATAATTTATGACACTCTTATACAAGAGAAATGGCTGTTGAAGCCAAACTAATTTATACATTAATATAAAAACGAAAGAAAAAAGAATAAATTACTCTGAAAATGGCTTTAAAACTTAGATTGTTTTTAATAATATTTTTCCTGCTATGTCAATTTATTTTATTTTTTTTAAAACTTTTAATTATTTAAATAACAATTTTTTGATGCAAGGGGCGCGCATAACCATAATAATTCTCACCTCCTATATATTAGCTCATAAATTACGGACAATAAATATAAAGTTCGACAGTATTCGAGTTCTGCCAGAGTTGCCACACTATCGCTGGAATAGAGCCATTACCCAAACCACACTCATTTCAAATTTGAGATCCCGAGTGGCCATTGTCATCATCGTAAATCTCAACTAACTGTCAACCAAGCGAGTTCTATGGCACAATTCAATGAGTGCCTCTTCATAAATCTCGACTACCCATGTCACTCTTGCCCAATTTTGTTGTGGCGTTTTTTTCTTTACAGACTTATCAGAACAAGTTGACTTGTGTCCCCCTTAATTGTCTTTAATTTAGTGTACAACTGAAATTACAAAATCACCTGAAAACTAAATTTGTATTGTACACAAAAACGAATCAGATTAATTCATTTTCAGAATAGAGTCGAAAAGCTAAGGCTGAAGATAAGCGAGAGGTTCCACAAATTGAATCTAATCGTGCGACTATCTAGGTGTAATTACAATTAACTTGGATGGGGAGAAAATCGAGGCAAAAGCTAACGGACAAAAAGATAATGAAATAATTTTTTGTGCGTGGCAGGTTCAATGTGGGCGCTTTGTGTGTGTGAGTGTGATTGTGGTGGAGGTGGTGGTGTATGTTATGGGTGATGGGTGGTAACGCTTAATGTTGGTTAGCCCTAAAAACAGTTTCCACTTTCGGGTAGGTAATCAATCATTGTCAATGCCCTGTCAATGCTGTGGTCTGCATGCCGCAGGGGTTGGATGGATGGATAGGTGGATCGGTGGCCAGATGAATGCCCAGGCGAAACTTACATTACCTACCAGTGCACTGGGAGAAAAAGCAACATGATATTCTTTGAATAAAAGTCTGATATATTTTCCTTTCTCTCGTCACTCTACGTTTTCAATAAATCTACAGACACCTTTTTTCCTACAATTATTCGTATTTATTATAAAAATAGTTACGGTTAAGCCCGATAAATCGTAGTGAATGCTTTAGTTACAAAATCTTTGAAATATAGTCCAAATATAAGCCCATTTATTTTTATACTTTATAAACTTATTTTTGTTGATTATTCTCTTATTCTACCAAATAATATTCTGATACATTATAAAATATTTTCCACTGTGCTTTTTAATTTAATTAAGGGTGTGAGATTGACATTGAGAGTGTGTGAGCCTTGACAGTCTCAAATATTTGCCTATTTCTTGACAGACAAGAGGAAATGCCGCCGCCGTCGCCGCTGCGGAAATAACTTCAACAAAAAATAAAACCAGAACTAGGCCACCGACGCATGAAAACTAATAAAAATCAAAATGGAATCAAATTAAATAAACAGCTAACAACAAACAAAACAAACACAACAACAACGAAAAAAAAACAGGAAAATAGAATGCGAATGGCAACAATAAAGCAGAGCAATGACAGCAACAACAAACAGACGATAAAACCGGAGAAAGGACTTCGAGATGAGGCGAAAATTTAAGGCAACCGAGGAGGCCTGAGATAAATTTTCCAAGGCAGACACAATGAAAATTACGGCAACACGAGGAAAAGTCGAAGGACTCGGGCTGAAAAGGAAAGCCGAAGGAAAAAAGTAGCGGAAGGAAATGCCATTATGACGTAAATGTGCTAAAATAAAACAACATGGCCGACAACCCAAGCAACAACAACGAAGCGTGTCGAAAGCTATACTACATATATATGAGTGTGTGTGTGTGAGTGCGTATTTTGTGGGGCTAATGTCAAAGTCAATCTTAGGAAAAACGCGTAGCGCATAAACATACAACAGAAGTAGAGAGTACAACGGCAAAAGGCAGTAGCAGTTAACCGAAAAAAAAAGTAGAAGCAAAAAGGAAAACCCAAAAAGAAAGCATGGCAAAGCAACCCCCAATTTTCAACGCGGGGGGCTTTCGCCGGAAAAACCCAACGCAAGCCGGAACCCCTCAAACGACAACTCGATTTTTCTTCTGACACAAGAAAAATTGCCGAAATTAAAGCAAAAAGAAAAACAATTTTCTCTTTTTCCTCTCTCTTTGCGCCGCCCCCATTGTAAGGGTTATAAAATCTTTGGAGACCAAAAGTTCCGCAAAAGAAAAAATTGTTTAAAATGCGAAATGAAGATGAAAATGTTAAACACGTTTCGGAATTGTTTTCTGCGTTTCTTTTTATTTTTGGCTTGTGTCAGTTTGTGTGATTTGTCTAGTTGCAAAGGTGAAAAGAATAGGAAATATGGCAACAGGAGAAAGAAAAACTAACAAACAAAAGTTGGGGAAAAAGTTCAAATGTTTTCTGGCGAAAAAGTTGGAAAGCCTCACGTGGTGCTATGTGAGAATCTCCTGGGTAAATTTTAATCAGAAAATGCTGGGGATCATATTTCTTTTGGAATTAAATAAGTTAAAGACACATTTATTGTATAAATTCCTTGAAATCAATTTTTTTGGTCAAAAAGATAATATGAAATAATATTATTATTATTTTTTGCCACAAAAATATTCGTTAGTTTGAAAACTTAATAAAGGCAAAATATTGTCAGTCCTTTAAATGTACTGTTCGAAACTATTTTAAAAATAAAAGAAAAACTTTCTTATATTCAAAATTTTAAATTATTTAAGCTTAGAAAATGTTTAAGGCTTCCAAATTTTAATTAGATGTGCCCCGAATGACGTCTATTTTCCTGGGCTCTATTCGAAAATAACAACAAAGTAGCTCCTAACCCTTTTGCCAAGGTTATGGCAAATAACAACAACAGAGCACTAGAGCAAAGTCTGCAGCGTCTACGCTCTCTTTGTCTGCTTTTCCCCACTTTTCCCCCGCTTTCCCCATTTTCCCCCTGGCACTCTTCTCTCTTTGGGCTCTCTCTGTCGTTGGTCTCTCCCCCGCAGGATTTTCCCTTTTTTTTATATATACGTATATTCTGCAGTCGACACTTTGGGGGTGGTTAGATAAAATGTGGAAATTGTTGAAAATGCCGCCCGCCTCTCCGGCAGCCGATGGTGCTGCATCGTTATGTGGGAAAACCCGGGTCGACGGACTTGGATGGATGCCGCCTTTGCCGTTTTGGGGGTGGTTGATGGGTGGATAGGTTGGTGGGTGGCTAGGTGGCTGGGCGGTATGGAAGGTGCGACTGCGACAGAAGACAGACGAAGGACGACAAACGGCAGACGACGGCGGCAACTGTTTTCACTCCATGTCCTTGCCACCGTCTTCTGCTTCTGCTGCTTCTTCTGCTGGCAGGCATTTTCAAAAAATTTCCTTCTTTATTTCCCAGTTACACAGGGAGCTAAGGTTTCCATAAAATCTCAAAAATCTCAAGAATCCATCTGATCAGTTTCTCACATAGTTGCAGGGCAACAACTCAGTGAAAAACATTTCTATATAAGCTTTCAAATATAAATAAGAAAATACTACTTTTCGTTTTTTTCCAAATGGAGTTTTACAAAATATTCAAAAAGAAAAAATTGGATAGCTGAATTTTATATAACAAACTTAAATTTTTGTAAATAACAGTTTTCCATTTTTTACGTTTGCTTAAATAAACCAAGACTTGTATTGTAACGTCGATTTTCCCTCAGTACATTTGCCGGCCGTTTTCCCCCATTTCAGTTTTTTTGGGGGGAAAACTCGGCAAAAATAACAACAATTTTGGCACTCATAAAAAAAGGCGAAGGACTGAAGGATCAGGAGGGTGAGGTTGAACAGAGGAAGTAGGAAATTTGAACTTGGGCTTGTGATGTATGTCCGATGTCTGTGGAGACCCAAAAACTGCCAATGCGGCCGACCACTGCGGCAGAGTTTTCCCTGGTCGAAATGAAAATGGCAGACGAAAATGTTAAGCGATGGATGGATGGGCAGTTGCCACCGGGTGGTTTGACCTCTCACCCCTACCAATATCGCTCCTCGCCCATCAAGCAAACTGGTGAAAGTTGCCCTTGAATGGTGTTTTCTGGATTATGCTCTGTTCCGCCTGCTCTCCCAATTTCCCTGTCCCCTTCGTCTACGCTTTTCTCCACTCTCTGGCTACATTTTCCTGCTTTTCCCTGCATTTCCAATTGAGTTTTGGGTCCGGTGTTTGCGGGCAAATTGAAGTCGATAAACAGAAGTCCAGGAAAAGCTATGGGCAATCAACATATGAAAATAATAACACAAAATTGGGTTCCAAATATTTGATTGTGAAAGTGCAGGTTTTTCGTATGTTGGCAAAAACATTATTGTTTATGAGATTTGCAATCATTTTAGATATTGTTTAATATTTCATATCCCCGAAAGTAAGATATTTTCGAGTACTTGTATTAAAGGTCAAAAGAATTTGGTACCAAATGCTTAATAACAGTTTTATTTACGCTTTTCAGAACTCGTCGCAACTTCTTTTTAAAAAGTTTAAAGTTAAAATATCCAAATGGTTTGTAAAACTCACCTCAAAAAATAGTTCCTTTGATGTCCACTTTTTGTTGTTTAATTTTTACAGAACTCCGCAATGCAATTGCTATACTTGGCTTTCAGTGGGCTGTAAAATTGTTATTTCACTTGGGTTCATGTATTTGTAATTTTATCGGTTTCGGATCGTATACGTTTTTGCATTAGCACGGCACGGAACGGAATGGTTGCATTTTCGTATATTATAATTGCTTTCGCTACATCGGACTGATGATTTAAGTGTTTTTTTTTTGGCTGGCGATCCGTTCTTCAATTCACATTTGATTTGACGAACCTAAAGAAGATATTGCAAATTAATTATTGATCACGTGCAAGTGGCGTAAATATCAGTTAAATAGTAAACAAAAGACAGGCAGAGGGGCAATAAAAACGCAGACGTGGCTGTTTGAACAAATAGAGAAAAAAAGACATAGAACAACACAACCGACAGGTGTGAGTGAAAAGGTGTAAGCCAGCCAACAACAACTAAATCAAATCGCAGGAAAATGCCTGGATTTCCCCTCCTCGTTTTAACCGTCGCTTGGCTGACTTTCAATGGGCTCTGGGGCAAATATTTTAAATGCGCAGATTTTTGGCATGTTTTAGTGGCAGTTCACGTTTTGAATTGTTGCCATGCCCGACGGAAACGGTCCAACGCTCGTTTCACTGACAATTTAATACAAAAAATGCCAAACATTTTCACAAAATAAAAGGAACAGCTCAAAAACCTAACGTGGAAAAAGTTTGGCAGTCGTAAAGCTTGTGTTAACCCTTTAAAATACGCAACGAAAATATGTGTGTGTACGTGGGCAGGAATATGCTAAAAAATTGTTTGAAACGGAATTGTAAGATCCTTATTTATGAATGTGCCTTGCAAAGATATATATAAATAGGTATACTTTGCATTAATTAAATTGTGATATTTTTAGAGAAACCAAATTAATGAAGTCAAAAAGAATTCTTTGGAAAAAGTAATATGATTTGAAGAGTTTTTTAGTTTACACTTTGTTTAACCTCTTTGTAATTCAACTTTTCTGGTTATTTATTCTTATAACTATTTTTTGAAGGAAAAATTAAGATTAAAGTTTCTTGCATTTAAGTCTTTTGTATTTCCCTAACACGATAAATTCCATAGGCAACATATTGTTATACTTCTTCTCTCAAATAAACAATGAATTTTGTTAATGAAAAAACTGAAAATACAACCTATATAAAACAACAGTTTTCCAATAAATGAAAAAAGGTAGAAAAACCCTTTTTAAGAAAAAAAAACATATTAGAAGAAAATCTAATTAAGATAATCTTAGAAAACAAGGTTGACAAATAAGCTCGAAAAAATAAACGAAAAGAAAAAGGACCAAAAGTTCCTATTTATTCTAACCCAAACTCAAATATGAATAATTTTCTTGCTTGGCAAAAGTCTGTAAACATTTTTGCACTTATTGCTCCGACATTCCCCGAGCATTTTGCATAATTTAACACACGGGTTTGGCTGTGACCCCCAGCAGCACCCACCACATCCCTTGGATTTCCACCCGCTGAGTCTGGCATACGGCCCCGCCCATTCCGCCCCCCTTTTTCGACCAGAAGTGATGCGTGTGTTTTGCTGCTCCCATTCAAATGCCAGACTAACTCAATTAGAGAGCGCAGACAGAAGTTGAAGTTGAATGTTACTTTGACTGCTGGCCAACATGCGAGTGCAAAGAAATAAATAAATATAACGAAACAGCTGAAATTGTTTGGCTCGAATATTTATGGAATTAAAGCGAGGAGTGTTTAAGGAAATAAACTTCAAAAAGGCGTCTCAATAAACAGACAGAGAACTCGCTAAAAAGTATCTAGATACTTTTTGCAGCTAGCTATAAGATACTCGCAGAAAAACAACAGTAAAAGCAACAGCGATGTCTGGCTTGTAAACTTGACTCGTTAATGTACACAGACAATAATTAGAGCAAGCTCTGGTCAACACTTTCATTTGATCAAATAAATATATTTCAGTGACTAATTTGCAGTTGGAGCTTTTCTACTTGAACTTAAATTATTACTCATATTTGCCCCATGCAAAACTTGATTTTTATACTTTATAATGCAGTAACATATCTCCAGAAACTAAATAAGGAAAATATATTTCGTTTGGTGACTAATTTTTTTAGTAAGCTACAGCCGGAGGAAAAAATATTTATAATCTTGCAAAAAAAGACAGAACTTATATAATTTAATTTAATAAATTGAGCTTTCTGAAAAAATTCACTTCAGACACAAAGAATTTTTCCGTTTTTAAAATAATTTTAAGTAATTAAAAAAAATTAAAAAATTATACTACCCAAATTTTTTTGTTTAAAAAACAAGAGATAACCAAATGAGCTTGGAAAGTAATAAACGTAATGTTATCTTAAGTTTATTCGAGTTTTAAAGTTTTGCCCGCATTTTCCTCTCTCTGTACGATAAACACAACAGAAAACTAAAATAAAATGCAAACAAGGAAAAAGCGAAAAAAATAACTTGGCGTCGTCTGAGTTTTTAGCTCTCTGTGCTCTCTTATTGTATCTTTTTTTTTGTTGTATTGCAGCTGTGTGAGTGTGTGGTTGTTGTTGCTTTTCCCATTTTCCGGTAGAAAATGTGAATGATTTTTCCTTCACTTTCATCAACAGCTGCGCTCACAAAAATGCTTTTTGTACTCTTTTGTTTTTTCGATTACTTATGTATTTGTTATTATATTAGATACACATACATATGTGTTAGCTTTTTTTTAGTATCTTTACCGTTTGGCTATGTTTTGTTGTTGTGTATTTTTATTTTTATTGCAGGCTTATGGGATTTATTCTATGTTTTTGTGTTTGTTTGTTGGTATATATTTAATGTATTTATTTGTTGTGCTTTTATTGATTTCTTGGTTTTGTGTTCTTCGCCGGCTTGCTATTTTGCAAATGCCGCCGAAATTGCAATCAATTGCAGTTTTATATCGTTAGCTCACACAGATACTCACGCACGCAAACACACACACACAAGCACTCGCGACGTCGACTGCGACGCCGACTACGACTGCGGCGTCGACTGTGCTGCTTGCGTCGTTTTGTACGTTAATTAAACGCGCGATTTTTTATTTGTTTCTCTTTTTGTTTTCATTCTTTCCTTTTCATTTGTTTCGTTTTGTTTCTCTCCCCCCTTTTTTGTTTTTATTCCGCCTTGTTATTGTTATTAACTTTTGTTATCGGGGGCTGCCTTTTGGGGCTGTTTTTTTTATTTCCCGTCTGCGGTGTGAATTTTCAGTGACTTTCGCGATTTTCCTTCTGCCGCGCTATGTAGTTTTTCCGGTGATTTCCACTTGCTAACTGACTTTCTTCCGACTCGACTTTTCCAAGCGGAGCGGCCGGCCGTTTTGTTTTGCAAAATCCACAGAGAGAGCAAGCGGGAGAACTGAAAAACAAAACTTAATTGTGCGCCGGTCCAAAAACGTGTAACGTAAACGTAAGGCCAGCCCGCCATCACGTAACGTAAAGTTGGATGGAAACGTTAAATTCGAAACGGGTATCGTTATTTAACGGATTACACCTATAAACATTAAAATAGGTATAAGAAAAGCTATTTATTTTAGTGTAAAAATGCTCCAACCCATTTTTGTGGGTTGAATTTTTGATACAAGTAATTGTAATCAACAGTTAATGAAACCAAAAACCAGTTAGAATAGTTCAGGTAAATACAATTACTCGCATTTTACCAATGTATATAGTAAGCGACTGTTGCTGTTGATTAAGTTCTTTATAATATTTAGTAACTTATAAATTAAAATTTTTCAATTTTATTAAGCCATCAAAACAACAAAATATGTCTTACTATAACTTTTCAGTAAAGATTTGTTGATTTTACAAATTTATTTATTCCAATAAAACCATTTTAGCCAAACAAAAATTTTGGAAACAAAATATTAAAAAAATATGTATTTAGGAGAATCCCCCAAATATAACACAATTGTAGACTGAAACTTGAACTCTTCAACCGAAAACTGTGGTTTAACCATTTCAACCGAACGAAAACATTACCAATTTTGTTTCATGCATAATAGACTATTGACGAACTCATTAAAACACAATTACTTCATCAATCTTTTGTACCATCAGAGTCTAATGATTAGACCCTCCCAAAAAAAAAATCTGTAATAAAAATATGTGAATTTTGTAATTTAGTCGTCAAATAGAAAGCCCCTGAAATGAACGTCAAAAGGATTTTATCTTGGATTGAATTGTTTCTGGGGATAATCATGATGAGCACTGCTCTTGCAAAGGTCAGTTGAATAAATAAAACAAAAACATTTTTTGTAAACAATATTTCTTTTTGTGCTACAAGATGGAGGTCCATATGACAAATATTGAATGCACCAATTATGTACCAGATATAATAAGGAATGTAAGCTGCATTTTAAATCGAACAGCACACAGATCTGGTTCACTGAATATGGAGTTTGCCGTGTCCCAAGATGTTATAGACGTGAACGGCATATATATACTGACGATAAAACAAGGTTCATTCCTGACAAACTTTACTGAATTAAAACTGGAACTCTGCCAATTATTAGCTAGTGTGGAATCACATTTTTTACTTAAGATGGTTACCACCGAGATTCGAAGAATTGGAAATTTGCCACTGGAATGTCCGTTTAAAATGGTAAATAAACGGTTTAAGAATTGTGTATTATGCTTGATAAATATTTGCCTATTTTTTAGAATAAGCGATATTATGTAAAGGAATTTACCATTAACTCAAACGTAATACCCAGCTATATCCCAGCAGTGAACTTCATTTCGGACTTCCACATATTCATTAAGAATCGCAAAGCAGGTCGCATAATTGTCCGTGGCCGACTTCTCCATCGTCGTTAACAAAGTAGATTTTTTAAGAAATCTTAAAACCAAAAAATAACAAGTAAATTTCCTTTCTTTAGCTGTATGATAACGATGTCAGATTCTAATAAAATTATAACCTTAATCATTACAATATTTTGAAAAATAAACTGAAAGGCAGCGCAAGCTATAGACACTATCGTCCGATTCGGCCCGCTTTGACCAGTTATGACTTATATACTAACAGCAGTAGATAGAAGACTTTTGGAAAATAGCTCTAAAGCATAGAGCACAGTTTGCGTAGAAAAAGTTTAAAATGATGTTTCGTGGATAATAGACTATTAACAGGGGTATTGATCGGTAACGAAATAATTGATCGCATTTAAATAAAGCACAATTACCTCAGCAATCGTGCAATTACTTTAAAAGAAGAATTTTGTATTCAGTCAACTATTGTTTAACCACTGAAATGAACGTCAAAAGGATTTTATCTTGGATATACCCGATTTTGGGTATTATCACGTTCAACAATGTTCTTGGAAAGGTCAGTTGAACTAATAAAAGAAATACATTTTTACTAAAAATATATTTATTTGCTTGTGGGACCAGATGGATGTCTATATAACAAGTGTTGAGTGCATTAATTATCTTCCAGATATAATAAAAAACGTAAGCTGCACTTTAGATCGAACATCACTCAAAACTGGTTCAATGGATCTGGAATTTGCCTTAGCCCAAGATGTTAGAGACATACAAGGCATATATATACTGACGCTAAAAAAAGGTTCATACTTGTCGAACTTTACTGAAATAAAAGTAGACCTTTGCCAAGTATTAGCAAGTGTGGAAACATATTTTTTACTGAAGATGGTTACCAACGAGGTTCGCCGAATTGGCAACTTACCAATGGAATGCCCGTATAAAATGGTAAAAATCAGATCTAACTATTAATTAATGCATAATATATATTTCTTTTTTTTTTAAGAATACGCGATATACTGTAAACGGATTCACGATCAATTCAAACTTAATACCCAGCTATATGCCAGTAATGAACTTCATTTCGGACCTACATACATTTTTTAGGAGTCGCAAAGCAGGTCGCGTAATTGTTCGTGGACGCTTTGCTCGGTCGTAATTAAATGTGTACTTCTTTTCAAAAATCTTAAGCCAAGACATAACAGCTTATCTAAATAAAAGTCATTTAATGCTTAGGAGAACTTTATTAAAAGTGTTTAAATGGTTTTTCAAAACAATTTTATAAAAGTATAGGTCAAAGAGCGAAAAAAACAGGTTTATAGATTTAAAATAAAATATCTCAAATATTTTTCTTAAAGTAACAGTTTTATGTTTGTTGGAATGCTGAATCATTACTTTAACAAAATTGGTAACCAGAAATTTGTAAAAAAAAAACCCGTTTGAATTTATTTGAAATTTAAATCGAAATATGTTTGTGGAACTTGAGAACGGGCCATTGAGCCGGTTTTTGAGGATAATGAAAATGAAACATTTTCTGCGCATGATCCTCTCCCATGAAATTTTGCTCTTCTCCTTTGAAGTTCTCGCAAGTACACAAAAACAAAAGGCTTGCTAACAGTCCAAAAGGGGGTTAGTCTACGAGAGGGGTTAACAAGGAGGGGGCGGAGGGATTTTGGGGGATCAGGAGCACCCACTGTGCGGGTGTATGTGTATTTGGTGCTATATTGCTAATGGCAGCAGCAGAACCAAGAACTGCCGGCCGGCGTTCTACACCAACTGAATGCGGTCAGCCAAAAAGCCCAAGTGGCCAAATGGAGAAGTAACCTCAAGGATCGAATTATTGTTGCTGTATCTGTTGTTATTGCTGTTATTGTTGCAGTTGCGTTGACAAATGTTGAGCTGCATTTCGGGTTTTAGACTTCCAGAAGCAGATTTGGGGTTGGGCATTAAAGTGGGAAATGGGGGGCTTAGTACATTCAGGCCACCAGCTTTTGCTATGAACTGCGGTGCTTGATAGACAGTTTTGAAATGTAAGAAAAAGAACAAAAGAAACGGAAGAGAGTTGAAATATACTGGGCATCTAAAAGAAAGACGGAAACACAAACTAATACCCATTCAACAGTTGAACAATAATAAAACTAATAATTCTTTGCAAAAGGGAGGGAAAAAACATATTTATTAATGCAACCATATATAAATACAATAAGAAAATATAAGAAAAGTTGATTAGAAAGACCATGGCTATTCAACAGTTAGACAAAGGCTTAATAGTTGATATCAAAAAAGGGGTTAAGTAATAAAGAATTTATTATATTGTAAGAAAGAAAAAATAATTGATATAAAACGAAGTGAAAAGTAATAAAGAATTGATTGTTAGAGTTGTGATGATGAAATAAAAAACAAGAATGAATACCACATTTAGTAAAAATAAAATACCAACATACTAATAAACAAAATTTGCAAGTAATATTAATCAAAGATTTAAAGAACACAATAAAGTATCCTTTTTAAAAGTATCATATTATATGGCTAGGTATAAAAGTTCAAAATATTTGGTATTAATATATATAAATAGTTAATATTTTGATAAATTCACTATTCATTTTAATTTAATGGTTAAAATATTAGGAAACGCTTTTTAGTTTTCAAGAACATAAGTATCCAAAATTTATTTTCTTTACCATGCTAATACCCACACCTTCAAATCACTGACTCATACCCCAAAAACTCTTCTCTCAATCTCCCCCACCCACACAATCAATCAATCGGCACCGGCACAATATTTTCATAACAATTAATTCCATTCATACACATTTGGTGGTTTGTTTTCAGTGCGGCACCTGCAGTGCATTGAAATTCGAAATTTGTTTTCGTTGCAATTAGAAATTTTATTACGCCTGGTGGTGAGCTGAATTTTCGGGCAGCAGAAATGCTTAAGAGGTCCCCGAGGAGGCGGAGCTCCAAGAATGCTCTTGTTCCGAGGGATACTTTATGGCCAAAACAAAAGATGGTCGAGAGCAGTTGTTTACCTGCGAACCCCCAAAAAAACAACGTCCAGAAATTATGGCACGCGTGCTGAAGCAATTAGTTAGAGAGCTATGGATCGGGGGTGGTGTGGTGTTCAAATACTATATATCTGTCTGATTCGCAACGGGGGCGGCACTCAATTTGCCATTTTTATGAGGCGCTTGGAAGCGAATTGAAAACAGAAACGGCCCACAAGATATTTCATTTGTATTTCTTTTTCTGTGTCGGCGGGTAAACAATCAAAATCTGGGGAGTGAATCAGCGGGAATTAAGTTAACCATCATGCTGGTGGAATTGGAAGTGGAAGTGCACTCTCAGTCAGAAAAGCTGTCGTCTCCCTCTTGGAAATAATTTACTACGAGAATACTGGCAAAATTTCATAGAACCCGCATTCATTTGTTAATCTTAATGATTTGTGCAAATGCCGTTAAATGCCATTTGACATTTGTCAAACTGAAGTGACCTCAATGCGAAAGTGTGCGTAATGTCATCACATTCAATCTGCACTCGAAAAAAATCATTTTATATTAAATTTAAGTTTTAAGTTTTTTTGAATTTATTCCAACTGTAAATTGGTTTAAAAAATATTATTATATTATGAACACCTTTGTGTAATTTATTATTTAATTCTTTAAATAAATATATTTTACTTTACAGCTTAAATTTGTTTTATAAAAAATTGTTAACCTATTTGATATGTATTTTTCTGAATGCAAAAAGGAAATGCTCGATTGTCCCAGGAACCAAATTGAAACTGATGATCCGACACTCACTCAGTCACTCAGCCACCATTTCCTCATCCTCTCAAATTTGCAGCTGGCAAATGAGCCATCAGTCGCTTTACTCTGCCCCTTGTTTTAATCAAAATCTATGATGTGTTATTTAATTAAAATTATAAATATTACAAACAATAAATGCGACAGCGTGTGGGCGAGTGTTTGTCTTGGTTATCTGTCAACTGCCAGTTGAATGAAGTGTTTACTTTTGGGCCTTCAATGTCGCCCTCACAAATGAACACAACTTTTTTCACATCAAGTGAAAATTAATTTGTAAATGCAATCATATGAGTTATGCTGACACGTAGAAAAGTAATAAAGCAGGAATTATTGAATTCTTTAATAATAAAGTAATTACTATTAATGCAAGGGTATGTGTATTTTGGTAAAATAAAAAGTAAATACTTTAGTTGCTTGTATTAAGAGTTTGCAAATAAATTAAATATTTTACATAAATAGCAGAAGCCCAAACGACATTTTAAACGATTTATTACTGCTTATCATGAAATACATTTTTTAAATAAAATAATTAATTTAATAAAAATAATTTAGTTTCGATTTGTAACTATGTAAAAGAATTATTAGCATATTTGGAAAATTTGTCAGCGATTTTATAACACCAAAGATAGATAGCCTGGATAAAACATAATTTATGACCTTAGTGCAGCCACATATACAGTGCATACGAAAAGTCGTTGGACCGATTTCCGAGCAGCACGTGGCTTACCAAAAACCCTTTTATTTTTTTTGTTCTTTACTGCAATTTCCACTGATTAATTAATAACAATAAAAATGGATTGAAGAGTGAGCGGAAAACGGAAAATACAAAAAATAAAAATGTTAATGATTAAACACAGTGGCTATCCAACAAAAACGACACAGCAACAACAGCATCAATTTGTGTGTTGCTTTTGATTTATAGTGGGAAATGCAGAAAGGCGTAGCACACTTTTGGGGCGTTTTTCCGGGTAGATGTGGAAAATGCTGCAGCCGGAGGAAAAGCTATAAATCAGTATATGGTAAAAGTGGGCGACAACGCGCTTTGTTGCATTCACCGTGGCTATGGATGCAGTTTTGTTGTTGTCGTAGATCCGGTTGTTTTTTAACACTTTTCTGGGATGTGCAAAATTCAATGAAGCGACCAGCAGCGACAAAACGGCGAAGCGGCGGCGGCAACAAAAACCTGACAGCAGGCGCACGAAAAATTTGCATCACACAAACAGCAAATACACAAACACATAGAGCACCAGGAAACATACGGCTCAAAAACACATACACAGAAAGAAACATATTATATATAAAGGGGGTTTTAACAGAGGTCCTTATTTTTAACTCAAAATATCATCTCACATTTGTTTAATCAATATTAAATGGATTTAGCTTTTCAAAATAATTTTTTTATAGTTTTTATATCATCTACCATTTATGGAATCCTTAATCACAAACCTATTTGTATGACTAGCTGTTTAAATTCATTATTAAATGGGTTTTGCTTTCCAACTAATTTTATTATAAATTTTGATAGCCCTGATGATCTGAACAAACAGTTTAAAGTACTAAATACTTCATATTTTTGTGCGTGTACCCACAAACTCTGGGTGAGAGACACACAAAATGTTAATGCAAATAAATTGCCTGCTGACTTTATTTAAATTTCCCATAAGACACACATGAACGAGGACCAACGCTAGAGGGAGATGGAAGTGCCCGCAGATAGAGAGGGTGATAAATGGAGGGAGGGGGTTTCGTCCTAAGAGTATTGAAGGAGCCTCCTAAGCAAAGTGCTCGGCCTGAGTTTCCATCCGCTCCCTAACAGACATGTGTTGCCTGTGGCAGCTTTTTGTAATTTTAATTTTGATTTTAATTTGTGTTGAAATATTTACATAATCACTGACTGACAACACTGCGAAAGATGGCACAGAACTCCGGTCTTGGAGGGTTGGAGGCGTAGAGAATGGGTTTTTGGTTGAAACATCTGCTTGGGCGCAGCAGATTTTTGTATCAAACTTTAATGAAAATTTATAAGGTCTGCATGAATGATTAAGCAACCATGTGGTGGCCTGAAAGTGTGTGCACTCTTGTTTTACCTGTCTTCTAACTTGGCTGAGCAGCTTCTTCATAACTGACTGCCTTGGAGTTTTAAAAAAGCAATAAAGAATTTTATTGCCTAAGTCAGAGGCTTTGATTTTAAATAAGTTGGCAAACTGTTGCCTATCCTGAAGGGCGGGATAGGAATATGTTAAAAATAAATAAGAAACACCACAAAGTCAAGTGTAGAAAATATGTGATTTTCTACTGTAGTAACCTCAA